TTAGCACTACTGCTGTAGAGTACAAACTAACCAAACAGTGAAGCAAGATTGAGACTTAAATTTCTTTGCTCTTTTCAATGACATTTCAAATAGCTGCATATCCCAAATCCTCAGAACACGAAACAATTCAATTTCTGTGAACAGCAACAACACAATTTCATGTATAACTAAAAATGTTTTAACTTCCGATCTCTTAATTTCAGCAATCTGACAAACTATTAGATGTACTCTTTTAATTCAAAAAGTTTAGATTTGAAATTCTGATTTTTAACTTTACAACTAGGTAATGGAAATGAATCCTCATATCTGTACCCAGGGCTGAACCTTGGGTCAACTGAGGATGGCTGTTCCTGCTAGTTTTGAAAGATCTACTCACTTCAAATCTCATATCTGCTCTTGGAGAGGGAAGGGAAAGGAAAGAAGCCCCTGGTACCTGGTGTCTGGCTCAGGGCTCTGGCCCACCCCCATGTTCCTCACCTGGGCGGCTGTCACAATGTCAAGTATCTAATAGTGAGTCACTGCTGAGAGGGCATCTCCTTAGTGCAAATCCTTCTTCGTAGATACAACTGGGTCTCTTCTTGATTCAAAAGATTCATCAACATTAATTTTTAAAGAGCTTATTTTGCATGCTAACCACCAGTATTGTCTTGTGTGTGATTTATTGTTGTTAAAAAAAGTGGCTTATTCACAGTGTCAATTTCATTGCTTGTGACTGGTCTGTTCATATTTTCTATTTCTTCCTGGTTCAGACTTGGAAGGTTATACATTTCTAAGAATTTGTCCATTTCTTCCAGGTTGTCCATTTTATTGGCATGGAGTTGCTTGTAGTAGTCTCTTACGACGCTTTGTATTTCTGCAGTGTCCAATGTAATTTCTCCCTTTTCACTTATAATTTTATTGATTTCAGTCCTCTCTTTTTCTTGATGAGTCTGGCTAAAGGTTTATCAATTTTTTTTATCTTCGCAAAGAACAAGCTTTTCGTTTTATTGATCTGTGCTACTGTTTTCTTTGTTTCTATTTTATTTATTTCTGCTCTGATCTTTATGATTTTTTTCCTTCTACTAACTCTGGGTTTTGTTTGATCTTCTTTGTCTAGTTTCTTGAGGTGTAAGGTTAGATGGTTTATTTGAGATTTTACTTTTTTCTTGACGTAGGCTTGTATTGCTATAAACTTCCCTCTTAGAACTGCTTTTGCTGCATCCCATAGGTTTTGGATCATCGTGTTTTCATAGCAATTTGTCTCTAGGTGTTTTCTGATTTCCTCTTTGATTTCTTCAGTGATCTCTTGGTTATTTAGTAACGTATTGCATAATAAGGTATAAGCTTCCAAGACTGAACCAAGAAGAAATACAAAATATGAACAGACCAATCACAAGTAATGAAACTGAAACTGTGATTAAAAATCTTCCAACAAACAGAAGTCCAGGACCAGATGGCTTCACAGGTGAATTCTACCAAACATTTAGAGAAGAGCTAAAACCCATCCTTCTTAAACTCTTCCAAAAAATTGCAGAGAAAGGAACACTCCCAAACTCATTCATATGAGGCCACCATCACCCTGATACCAAAACCAGACAAAGATACTACAAAAAAAGAAAATTACAGACCAATATCACTGATGAATATAGATGCAAAAATCCTCAACAAAATACTAGCAAACAGAATCCAACAACACATTAAAAGGATCATATACCATGAACAAGTGGGATTTATCCCAGGGATGCAAGGATTCTTCAACACATGCAAATCAATCAAAGTGATACACCATATTAACAAACTGAAGAATAAAAACCATATGATCACCTCAATAAGATGCAGAAAAAGCTTTTGACAAAATTCAACACCCATTTATGATAAAAACTCTACAAAAAGTGGGTACAGAGGGAACCTACCTCAACATAATAAAGGCCATATAAGACAAACCCACAGCAAACATCATTCTCAAGGGTGAAAACCTGAAAGCATTTCCTCTAAGATCAGGAACAAGACGAGGATGTCCACTCTCTCCACTATTATTCAACATAGTCTTGGAAGTCCTAGCCATGGCAATCAGAGAAGAAAAAGAAATAAAAGGAATACATCTTGGAAAAGAAGAAGTAAAACTGTCACTGTTTGCAGATGACATGATACTATATATAGAGAATCCTAAAGATGCCACCAGGAAACTACTGGAGCCAATCAATGAATTTGGTAAAGTTGCAGGATACAAAATTAATGCACAGAAATCTCTTGCATTCCTATACACTAACAATGAAAGATCAGAAGGAGAAATTAAGGAAACAATCCCATTCACCACTGCAACAAAAAGAATAAAACACCTAGGAATAAACCTACCTAGGGAGATAAAAGACCTGTATGCAGAAAACTATAAGACACTCATGAAAGAAATCAAAGATGACACAAACAGATGGAGAGATATACCATGTTCTTGGATTGGAAGAATCAATATTGTGAAAATGCCTGTATTACTCAGAGCAATCTACAGATTCAGTGCAATCTCTATCAAATTACCAATGGCATTTTTCACAGAACTAGAACTAAAATTTGTATGGAGACACAAAAGACCCCGAATAGCCAAAGCAGTCTTGAGGGAAAAAAACAGAGATGGAGGAATCAGACTCCCTGACTTCAGAGTATACTACAAAGCTACAGTAATCAAGACAATATGGTACTGGCACAAAACCAGAAATATAGATCAATGGAACAGGATAGAAAGCCCAGAGATAAACCAACACACCTATGGTCAACTAATCTATGACAAAGGAGGCAAGAATATACAACGGAGAAAAGACAGTCTCTTCAATAAGTGGTGCTGGGAAAACTGGACAGCTACATGTAAAAGAATGAAATTAGAACACTCCCTAACACCATACACAAAAATAAACTCAAAATGGATTAGAGACCTAAATGTAAGACCAGACACTATAAAACTGTTAGAGAAAAACATAGGAAGAACGCTCTTTGACACAAATCACAGCAAGATCTTTTTTGATCCACCTCCTAGAGTGACGGAAATAAAAACAAAAAAAAACCAAACGGGACCTAATGAAACTTGAAAGCTTTTGCAAAGCAAAGGAAACTACAATGAAGACAAAAAGACGACCCTCAGAATGGGAGAAAATATTTGCAAATGAATCAACAGACAAAGGATTAATCTTCATAATATATAAACAGCTCATGCAGCTCAATATTAACAAAACAACCCAATCCAAAAATGGCCAGAAGAACTAAATATACATTTCTCCTAAGAAATACAGATGGCCAAGAAGCACAGGAAAAGCTGCTCAACATCACTAATTATTAGAGAAACGCAAATCAAAGCTACAATGAGGTATCACCTCACACCAGTTAGAATGGGCATCATCAGAAAATCTACAAACAACAAATGCTGGAGAGGGTGTGGGAAAAAGGGAACCTTCTTGCACTGCTGGTGGGAATGTAAACTGATACAACCACTATGGAGAACAGTATGGAGGTTCCTTAAAAAACTGAAAATAGGGCTTTCCTGGTGGCACAGTGGTCGAGAGTCCACCTGCCGATGCAGGGGACACGGGTTCGTGCCCCGGTCCGGGAAGATACCACATGCAGCGGAGAGGCTGGGCCCGTGAGCCATGGCGGCTGAGCCTGCGCATCCGGAGCCTGTGCTCCACAATGGGAGAGGTCACAACAGTGAGAGGCCCACGTACCGCAAAAAAAAACAAAAAAAAAAAACAAAAAAACTAAAAATAGAATTACCATTTGACCCCTCAATCTCACTACTGGGCATATACCCAGAGAAAACCATAATTCAAAAAGACACATGCACCCCAATTTTCATTGCAGTACTATTTACAATAGCCAGGTCATGGAAGCAACCTAAATGCCCATCGACAGACGAATGGATAAAGAAGATGTGGTGTATATATACCATGGAATATTACTCTGCCATAAAAAGGAATGAAGTTGGGTCATTTGTAGAGACGTGGATGAATCTAGACTATCATACAGTGTGAAGTAAGTCAGAAAGAGAAAAACAAATATTGTATATTAACGCATATATGTGGAACCTAGAAAAATGGTACAGATGAACTGGTTTGCAGGGCAGAAATAGAGACACAGATGTAGAGAGCAAACATAGACAGCAAGGTGGGAAAGTGGCGGGGTGGTGGTGGTGGTGGGATGAATTGGGAGACTGGGATTGACATGTATACACTGATGTGTATAAAACTGATGACTAATAAGGACCTGCTGTATAAAAAAAATAAATGAAATAAAATTCAAAAATTCAAAGAAAAAGTGGCTTATTATTTATTGTTTTAGAGACTGGCATAAAATAGAAGCATACCTACTAATCAATTTACCCAAAATTCTCCAAAGGATGTGAGGCCCTAAATCACAAATAGTCAGAACCTTTCTATATAAACATACAGCTATAGGTACACTTAGGCATTATGGAAAGTGGATGGTGACTTTGCCAATGTTCTACTCCTTAGCCTTGCAGACCACTCTACCTGATGCACTGCCTTATAGAGAGCGACAATTCGGAGACAAAGATTATTCACACAGTCTTTCTATCTTCTTTTTCAATGCCTCCCGAAAGAATGAGAGCCTAGGTTTATTCCTCAAATTTCCAATGGGGACAATACTGGGTCCTCCTGTTAGCTCTTGTACTTAAGTCTACTCAGGTGTAAAGACAGTTGTTAAACTTTCTGAGTTGTATAATAGTCTTTTGAATTCTTGAATAATTATGGTTCATGTATCATACTCTAATTTAGACACAGGAAGGCCAATGAAAGGCAAGTCTGTAAAACAGCCTATGTACCAATGTACCTACAGGAAAAAGATGCATGTGCACACACACAACACACAACACTATTTCCCAGAACAACACAACTTCAAATGCTCGCCACGTCTCGTGTATCGCTATCTTCCAGACACAAGGAACCATAGCAACTCCCAGAGAAGAGCAGCCCCTAGAAGATACTCACAGCTTGTCAGATATAAAGAAAACAGATACATACCATCAAAACTACCTTGCTCGGAAGCAAGGTGCAACAGCTGATTGTACGTTTCAACTGAAGGCTGATAAACAAAGACTCCAGAATTGAAGCAGTCAGGCCACCCTGGGTCTGGTGCCGCAGACAATTCTTCTCTCTCAAAAAGATCATCGATATTTGCTAGGACCTGATTCAAGGGCAATGGGGCAGGAAGAAAGGAAAGCATTTCAGAACTGTTCTGCTGCGGTATACCCTTCTTAAGTTCTCCTTAAGTTATCCAACACAAAAGATGCAGTCTGTTGCTGGTCTTAACTATTCAGATGACAGCTGTGAGGCAGCCTGGTCCTACGCTCCTTCAACACCTGACACTTTTTACAACAGTGGTTTTATCTGAACTTTACTGTCAAGTCTTGACAGCATTCCTCAAATGCCTAACTGGTCTCAGTTACTATATCCATCTTTCCAGCCATCATAGCCATACTCACCAGAGTATCTGCATCCATGAATACACATTTTGAATACTGTGTAAGTGACCAGCAGTGGAGTTTAGTTAACGTGATGCCCAACTCAGGCCTCTTCATTAAGGTTAGATGAGCAGAATCACCACTGTCCAAGACATCTACCATGATGACTTCATCAAAGATAGTCTCTAAAGTTTTCCTGTCAAAAATAAAATCCAGAAAACAGCTCTCAGCATCTCTTTAGAACAAGTGGCCCATTTAACATAAGACAGCATTCTATTTAGCTTATCAATTACGAGAGAATCTGTTACTTTGGTACATTGCAATCTCTTAAGTATGTCCTAATTTACTTCAGGACAAACTGTGTTAATTTGCATGTGCAGTTAACTTCACTAAAACAGTAAGAACTGCTTACTGTGAGGATGACCCTCTTTTCTTAAAACATTATCACAGAAGTTTTCTATGTTTTATTGTACCACTGAATACCAGGCAAATCGTGAAATAGCTTGTAAAAATGTGACTGATGCTTGGTAATACATCTTTTCAACAGCCTATGCCTTTAACAATAATATTTTATTACAACGGGTTCTTGCCGACCACTGAATACTTTTACAAATGATGCGGAGTTAAGTGCATGTAATATCTGCACTGAAGCCTATAACTAATAATTTTTGCCAAAGCAGTTGACAGAGAACTGCCTGAAGCTGTGTCCTAACAGAGGTTAAATGACTCAATTATTTGGTTTCCATTTTTTTAGCATCGCATACAACCAGCATTTATTACATGCTTTGCACTCCTGGCATGAGAGACTCACTTTAGTTTGTGAGGTACAACATTTCTCCCTGCCCCAAATTAACTAAAGATATATTTTAGAAAGCAAGCCTGAGGTGAGGTTAAGTGGGGTGTACTTTGGTAAGACGCTAAACTCAGCACAAGGAAAAACACATGATAAAGACAAACCATCACCGAAAGTTTATAAAAATATCAAGCATGCAGAACAAAACTGGTAACGTATTATCTTGTCTCCAAAGCTGTACAAACATATGTTCTAGTTCACACAGTAAACTTGATCTCTGAAAGAAATGGTGGCACCATTTACCACAGTAAAGGGGGCTTGCTTTCTAAGACTATATCCAACTTCTTACACGATTCTCACTAAATAGACTATAGATTAGGACATACACAAAGGAGACAGTTTTGGGGGGCATTTTCCTAAATTACCCTTTAGGAATAAGGTTCTTAGCGTGAAAGATATATGTATGTATGTATGTATGTATGTATAATGCCTCTTTTTCAGAGGTCCTTGGCATGGGCTTACAGTTTTTGAAAAAAGTCACAAAAAGAGCATTTCCAGCTTCTAAAAGGGATAGGAGAATGCAAAAATAAACACAATACAGAGCTGTTAGTGTGCCCAGATATTCTTAAGTGAGTTAGTATTAGGATCAAGGTAGTTCATTCAGATACTTCAAAATTTAATTCCAACCAATTAACATGAACTAACCCAATCAAAGAACAGCTTGTGCCCCTCAGGGTGCTCTCCTAGCAGGACCCCTAATTCTGAGAGCCCTCTGGCAAATATTCTAGTCTATTAAATTGTAAATAAAGATCTTTGGGTTACTAATGTCAATGGGGGTGGAGAAAACTGCTACTTTCTTTCAAAGTCCCGGGAGGTTTCCCCCGTTAGAAACAAGAACAAAGTAGTCCCTGCTGCATCTGGGGAAAGGCATGCAAGTGAAGCGTGATGACATGAAGGGAATGGCTGGACTGAGTCACTCACTCGGATTACCCCAAGAGGACTTGCCCAAGGGAGAGCCCTACTCCTGGTTGGAATCGCTAAGGGCAAGGGCCAAAACACCACCTCCCTGAGGGAGCTTGTCTGGAAGATCTCCCAAGAGCCAGGAAGAGGTTTTAGACCCAGGAATCCACTCAGCAACTCTCATCTTTCTCCACCAGCACGCAAACCCTGGAAAGGGTATGGCCTCAATGCCCACCGATGCCAGGAACAGGGGAGAGGGATGTCCGAGCCCCACCAACAGCGGGGCAGCGAGATCCTCACCTCATGGAGTCCGAGACCTGTGGGGTGACGAGCACGGCCAGCCTCCTGGTGGTCCTGTGCTGTTTCAGAGACGAGCCCAGGACCAGGGCTCCTTTGGCGTAGGCATCGTTTGTGGTCAGTGTCACAAAGGCCTGATCTTAATACAAGGAAAACGAACACACATTCATTACACTATCCTACCTAGAAAACACTACCCCAGGACCCTTTTCAATCAATAATTTGGCAAAATCAGCTCCTCTGAGATCAACTTGCTGTATTAATAAAAGAGCAGCCTCTTGTGGGGGGTTACGGTGAAAGAGAGAACCCAGTGTTCGCTATAAGAATGGCTCAGGACCATTCTTTAGCAGGCAATCTTTGGCAACCTTCAAGAGGCTGACGAAGCTGTAAAAATTCAATCCAATTTAGAGTCCAGACATGCCAAATTCTCAGACTAAACAGCAGCTTAACACCCAGAGGGTGAACCTCAGGCAGTTAACAGGCAGTGAAGAAGAGATCAAGAAGTGCATTTTCTGTTTCTCCTACAAGGTACCATAGACAGTATTTTTCAGCCAAGCACAAATCCAGCCAACAACCTCAACTGAGAGCATCTGAAAGCAGAGGCCATATTCTTCATTCTGGTGCTTACATGTTCCACGCCTCAGGCTTTTTCTACTGTTTCCTCAACCTGGAGCAAACACTCCATGGCTATCCAACCACCACTCTAGAGTCACTCTGAGTCTCTCTGAAACATCACCTCCCCCAAGAAGCCTTCCCTCCTTGATGCTTCTATCTAAATTGTGGCCCATCGCTGTTAAACGGATTTAGGGACCACCTCACAAGCTCTAGAAAACCTGCCTCCTTTTCCTTGGAGAAGCAAGCAGTACCCCTACCCTGTATCCTGGGGCACCTCAACAGACTCTCTCACACACACATTCAAAAATCAATCTCCAATAATCATTTAGTTGCCAGGACCAGGGGCAAATGCATAAATTCTCCTTCCTCCTGAACAAGCCCCACCCTCGCAAGGCCACCAGCCCAGCCTTTAGGATTTCTCCAGCCCTTCCCCGGCATGATTCTGGAGCACACTCCCTCTCCAAATGGATTTTAACATTAGCAGGTTGGTGGGCATCCATACATACAGGGTACTTAGGATCAAGCTCTGCCAGGGCTCACTTGGGGCACGGCTGCCCAAGCAGGGAGTTGAGCCATTCTGTCATGAAGTCACTCTGTTTCCATCTTAGGTTTCCTCATTCTCTCTTTGCCCATTTTCCAAAGTGGAGGCTGGGGGCAGTAGACATTCCATTGAGAAGTGAGAGGAAGTTGTAGGTTGTCAAGTGGGCCAGCACACTCCCCAGCTGCAGATCTGAGGGCCATCTTCACAAGTAGTGTTGAACTCTCCTTTAAGTTGTAGAAAGTCTGGTGTGCCCGCCCCCAGGGTCACTGGCTTCCCAGCCAGTCACGCTAGGAAAGCTCAGAACAGGGCCTTCTGTCCCTTGACATACCCATCAACTTGAGCTTGTTCCTTCAACCCATCATAAGATGGCAACATTTCAGTCAGCCTGTCCCAAGGACACTTAATCTGGAGCATAATGAATGATGTTTTAACACAAAAACGGTCCTGATACCAGGGGAGCACGGAGAAAAGTTTAGTAAGTAGGGTTCAAGGCTTTCAGGAAGCTAGGATATGGATGATTTCCCAGATGAAGCGGGAAGCAGGACAAATGCTTAGGAACAGAGGCTAGAACGCCAGACCTAGCAAAGGAACAGGGAAGACCAAGGACAACTGGGTAGGAGGTTCAACCTTCCCAGAGACGGCCAAACCCCGGGTTACATCTGCAACCTTTCCGCAGCTCAATGGCTGTAATAATCCCACTGTTCGCCTCAACAGCACAGCAAGGACCAGTTACCTCGGGGCCTCCGGTCTTCGGGGGGCAGATTCGCCGTGCGGCCCGGACACCTTGCAACAAGTGGGCCGGCGCCCTCCCACCACGCCGGGCCCGCTCCCCGGGGGCGCTCGCCGGGCTCCGGCTTCCCGCAACCCAGCCCCAAAGGCCTAAAAATAGGCTCGGCGTGTCCGCCAGCGCCGGAGCGGGCGGCCGAGGAGCCGGGCCGGGGCCACCGGCGTCCCCGCCTCGCGGCTGCCCCTTCCAGGAGTTCCTGCCCGCGGGCGGTGGGGGACGGCGCCTCGCGACCCCGCCGCGCTCCGGAGCTCGGAACCCGCGCCCCCGGGGAGCCGGCTCCCCACCCCCACGCAGCCGGCCGCAGCTGCTCCGCCTGCCCGCCCGCCCTTCACGGTGCGCGCAGGAGGAAGGGCAAGGAGACGGAAGCAGGAACGGGGGCTTCGGCGGAGGGCCCAGGCGCTGCCTGGCGGATCCCCTCGGCTGCGTCCGGGGGATCCAGACGGCCGCTCGGGACCCCGGGGCGGCGGGGCAGCGGCTGACGCAGGAAGCGACACGCCCGGCTGCGGCCAGCCTGCAACTTTGCTG